CTATGAGTCGGTTCCGACTCGATGGCACCTGACAACAACAACAACATATGCATGTGAAAGCTGGATTGTAAATAAGGAAGACCATAGAAGGATTGATGCATTTGAGTTATGGTGTTAGAAGAGAATATTGAAAATGCCATGGGCTGCCAAAAGAACCAACAGATCCATGTTGAAAGAAATACAGCCAGAATGCTCCTTAGAGGCCAGGATGGCCAAACTTTGTCTCTTATACTTTGGGCATATTTTCAGGAGGGACCAGTTTCTGGAGAAGGATAACATGTTTGATAAGGTGGAAAGTCAGAGAAAAAGAGGAAGACCTTCAATGAGATGGATTGGCCAACTGGCAGCATCAATGGGCTCAAGCGTGGCAACAATAGTAAGGTTGGCCCAGGATTGGGTAATGTTTTATTCTGCTGTGCATAAGATTACTATGAGTTGGTACCAACTTGATGGCTCCTAACAACAACAACAACATCTGAGTCCAGTTATGGTACTAGTATGAGTACTAGCCACAAGGTTGGCAGTTCCGCCTGTTGCTCCTTGGAAACCCTATACAGGGCCACTATGAGTCAAAACAGACTGGCCAACACTTAACAGGAATAAAATACTAGAAATTCTTAATTTGACTTTGCATTTCCAGGTTCTTACCTTTTGCATATCTTCATAGAACATAAATAGCATATTAGAGTGCTTTCTCTTTTCCCAAGATTTTACGTGTTTATACCAGGTACCATAAGGAACTAAAATTAAAGAGCAAAGTTATATTGCTATACATCTTAAAAAGAACAAATAAACATAAATTAATGATAGACTGAAAAAAAAAATCCTTATGGCTTAGTCTTATATCCTAAGTATGTTTCTCTGTAGAGAAATAACTCATGTTCAAAAATATTCTCAGCGTTCATTATGATATAGCTTAGAATAAAACATATAAAGTCTGCTTTTGACTAATTCAATTCAGAAGCTTGGAAAGCAGTTTCTGAAACTTATGTGTGTCAGGGGGAGGGAGGTGTATGTGAAATCAATTTGTAAGTGAAAATAATTTAGATAGTGGAATTATCAAAAATAATTTGAGATTAGGTCCCACTCACAAATTCACCATTTATAAACATGCTCTATCAACTGCAGAAAGTAACTATATTAGTATGTATTACACTCTTGGCAGTTTGGAAGGTAAGGGTTAATTTTTAATAGACTGGTGTAGCATTGTAGGATAAGCACTGGACTGCTAACCACAAGGTCAGTGGTTGAAACCCACAAGTTGTTCTTTGGAAAACCAATACAGGGTTGCTATGTATCGTTACCAACTTCATGTCACTTTCACAAAAAGAGCAGACTATTAGAAAAATTTAGAGATGATACATGAGCAAATGCTGTTTTTCCTCTTCCCTTATCCATTTTCACCCATATGTGTGCCTTACCCAATACAAAAACTAACAAAATGATATAATGATTTCTGAGTCAAAGTGTGTCACTTTGCAACGAGCCATTCACTTTACTCTATTATGCTTTGCAAGTAATCCTATTCAGTTTTTACTCTATTCAACATATTCTTTCTTTAAAGTGTGAGGCATTTTTTGAGACTTGTGTACTATCTACATTTCTTTAGCAGATTTTTCAAAGAAATTTATGTATTTCTTCTGTCTTCTTTTGATCCTTCCTGCATCATTCAATAGCTTGTCCACTATACCCTTCAATATTGCAATCTGAGACTTGATTTTTTCTTCAATTCTTTTAGCTTGAGAAATACTGAGTGTGATCTTAACTTTTGGTTTTCAGAGTCCAGAGGTTTGCACATTTCATTATAATAATTAACTCTATCTTCTTGAGCTGCTCTTTGAAATTTTATGATCATCTCTTTTATGTCATCATTTTTTTTTCCATTTGCTTTAGTTTTTTGTTTTTATTTTTTATGATAAAGAACAAGTTTCAGCATCTCTCCTGACATCCATTTGTGCCAGTTTTTCATTACTTTTTGCTTTCTTCATATATGATATTCTTGATGTTATCCCACGACTCCTCCAATCTTTAATCAATAGTGTCTAACATGTCAAATCTGTCCTTGAAATGATCTTTAGATTCAGGTTGAATATATTTAAGTAGAACGTATTTTCACTCTTGTGAAACTGAACTTGTTTTAATTTTCTTCAGCTTTAGTCTGAATGTGCATTTGAGCAATGTTCCACAGTTGGCTCCTGGACTTTTTTTGCTGGTGATATTGAGCTTATCCATAACCTCCTTCTACACATGTAGTCAATTTGATTCCTGTGTATTCAATCTGGTGAAGTTTATATGTAGAGTCACCTTTTTTTATAGTTCAAAAAAGGTATTTGGGATAGTCTTAAAAAATCCTATCATATGATTTCCATCATCATTTCTATCACCAAGGCCAGATTTTCCAACTACTGATTCTTCCTCTTTGTTTCTAACATTTGACTTCCAATCACCAATAACTATCACTACATCTTGATTGCATGTGTGATCAATTTCAGGTTGAAGAAGTTGGTAGCATCTTCAATTTCATCTTTGACTTTAGTGGTTGGTGGGTAAATTTTAATACTACTACTAATAACTGGTCTTATGTATATTATCTTATCACAGGTAACATTGTACTTTTAGGTAGTGCTTAAAATGCTCTTTTTGATGGTGAATTCAATGAAATTTCTCTTCAGTTTGTCAACCTCTGAATAATAAGCCATATGATTGTTGTTGATCAGTGCCATTGATTCAGTTCTGACTCACAGCAGCCCTGTATAGGGCTTCTGAGGAGAGGCTGGTGAGTTTTAACTGTCAGTCTTGAGGTTAACTGTTCAGTGCTTATCATATAGTGCCATACCAGTACTCCAAACATATGATTCTCTGATTCAGAATGCACAAATCTATTCCACTTCAGCTCAGTAATGCCTAGGTAATCAATCTTCGTGTGTTCCAATTCTTTTTTGATGACTTCCAATTTTCCTAGATTCCTACTTCACAATTCCAGTTGTTAATGGATGTTTACAGATTATTCTATTCATTTTGAGTTGTGCCCAATCTGCAAATGATATCCTGAAAGCTTTGCTCCATCCACATTAGTAAGGTCGATTTTACTTTGAGGAGATAACTTCTCCCCAGTCATATTTTGAGTGCTTTCCAATCTGAGGGGTTCATCTTTTGGCACTGTATTAGAAAATGTTCTGAAGCTATTCATATGACCTTCTGTGACTAGCCTTATAGTAATGGTCTGCCTCTCCTTCTCAGTCTGGAAGCTCTGTTGAAATTTATCCACCCTGGGTGATACTGCTGGTACATAAAACACTGGTAGCATAGATTCTAGCATCACAGCAACACACAAACCACCACAGTACAATAAAATAACAAGTGGTAGAAACTTATTATTGTTGTTGTTGTTAAGTGCTGTAGATTTGGTTCCAACTGATAGCAACTCTGTATAGGTTGTCCGAGCAGTGGCTGATAAGTTTGAAGTGCCGAACTTACACTTCAAACCAGCCTTGCAGTCTAGTGCTTATCCTACAGTGCCACACCAGGACTTTAGAACAATCTGTTTTGTTTGAGAATATTAGACTCTCCTGCACTATTTTATTATTTTATTTCCATTGTTCTATGCTAAGGGTTGAGTCCCTGACTGGTTAAAATGAGTAATCATTCAACTTCCATAGGAGTTTTGAGTGCAGAGGCTTCCCAAAAGGAAGGTGTGGTGGAAAACCAAGTCACGGAAAATCATATGGAGGACAAGGAGTCACCATGAGTTGGAATTTACTTGACAGCAACAGGTTTTGATTTTAGGAAAGACTATCTATAAAGGCAAACTTTCCCAGATTGATGCGTGAGTATTTCTTACACTGGTCTGAGAAATCTGATTGAAATTTTCATATTGTACAATGAATAGAAACAGCAATAGCTTTGGAGACAGTCACATATTTGTTTGTGAATTATGACCCATAATTACTAGGTGAATAACTATAAACAACTTACTAAAGCTCTAAGAGCTTTTCTTTTGTTAGGCAAAATAGCACAGTTAAAGGGCCTGGTATAATTCTTAGAATTAAAGGGACATTTAAGTGGACATTTTCTTGTTTCCCTTCCCCTTTGCTCAATAGAGTTGAAATGACACATTGTGAAATACTTTTCTAATAAAAAAGACGGGAGAGAATTGGTTCATTAGGCTCAATCTCAGGGGAAAAAGCATTGTCAACAACTCCTACTCATCTTCTAAATATGTATTTTCAAGTGTTTGGTTAGAGTGTCAAGCTTCCATATTATTCTACTCAGAGCTGCAAATCTTATGCTTCTTTTAAGCTTCGAGGGCTTCTATATTTTTACAAATGATAAGAGACAATGACATCAGAAAGGTTACAGTCTGGGATATTATTTATTTGAATCAAATTCAATCAATTAATCAAATCAAATTCTAAATCACTCATCTTTAAAAATTCCAAAGAAATAGTTATTCTTACCTTCTCCATTCATGTATTTCTCCACAAACTCTGCAAATGTCCCAGGATTTGGGTGAGCTGGTACCATTAAATGGAAATAATAATATGAAACAGCCACATCCTTGGCATTTCGGCAAAGATAGATCATCTAAAAGAATGAAATTATTTATTAAATGACCTATTACATTTTTATCTCAAAAATAGACTCCTCAAGTTTATAAAAATATATTTATACCACCAGTTACAAACATACTTATTATAGAATGTGTATTGTTGTTGTTGTTATATGCCATCAAATCAGTACCAACTTATAGCTACCTTAGGCAAAACACAACAAAACATTGTATGGTCCTGTATCAGTCTCACAATCATTGCTATGCTTGAGACCACTGCTGTAGCCACTGTGCTGATCCATCTTTTGGGGGTCATCATCCTGTTGTAGCCCACTGCTGTAGCCAATGTGCTGGTCCATCTTTTGGGGGTCATCATGCTGTTGTAGCCCACTGCTGTAGCCACGGTGCTGATCCATCTTTTGGGGGTAAAGAGGAGTGTCACTTTACCAAGCATGATAGCCTTCTCCAGGGACTGGTTCCTCCTGATAATATGTATAAAGGATGAGAAATGAAGTCTGGCCATCCTGGATTGCCAGGAACATTCTGGCTGTACTTCTTTCAGCACACATTTGTTTGTTCTTTTGACAGTCCATGGTACTATCAATATTATTTTCCAGTGTCATGAAAGGAGGCATCAATTCTTATAAAGTTTTTCTTATTCATTATTCAATGTTCACATGGCTATGTGGAAACAGGATTACTGGTGTAGCACTGTAGGATAAGCACTGGACTGGGAACCAAAAAGTCAATGGTTCAAACCAACCAACTACTTCTTGGAAACCCTGTACAGGGTCACTGTTAGTCAGAATCAACTCCATGGCACTTAACAGCAACAGCAACATGAGGTAATTAGAAATACCAGAGCTTGGGTCAGGTGCATCTTAGTACTCACACTGGTAACTATGCTTTTGAATGCATTAAAGAGTTCTTGTGCAGCAGATTTGCCTAATGCAGTAAATCATTTGATTTATTGACTCTGCTTCCATGAATGTTGATTGTGGATCCAAGCAAAATGAAATCTTTGACAACTTCAATCTTTTCTCTATTTTCTATTACGTTGTTTATTGGTCCAGGTATGAATATTTTTGTATTCTTTACATTGATATGAAACCTGTACCAAAGACTGTGTTTTTTTTATCTTCATCAATAAGTATTTTAAGTCCTCTTCATTTTCAGCTAGCAAGGTTGTATCATCTACATATTTCAAGTTGTTAATGAGTCTTCCTCCAGTCCCTATACCATGTTTTTTTTTCATATAATTCAACATCTTGGATTATTTGCTCAGCATACAGATTGAATAAGTGTGGTGATAGATTACATCAACTAGTGCACACTTTTCCTTATCTTAATGCATCCAGTATCCCCTTGTTCTATTCAAACTATGACTTCTTTGTCTATGTACAGTTTCCTCATGAGCACAAGTAAGTGTCTGGAATACCCATTTTTCACAATGTTATCCATACCTTTTCATTATCCACATAATTGAAAGCCTTTGCATAGTGAATAAAGCACACGTAAACATTTTTCCTGTATTCTCTGTTTTCAGTCAAGATCCATCTGAATTCAGCAATGATCACTTTAGTTTCACATCTTTCCTGAATCTGGCTTGAGTTTCTGGCAGTTTTCAGTTGGTGTACAGTTGCTGACTTTTAAAATTTATCTTCAGAAAACCTTTACTTAAATGTGATATTGATGATATTGTTTGTTATTTTCTATATTACTTTGCATCACAGCTCCTTGAAATGGGCACAAATATGGATATCTTATGATTGGATGACTAGATAGCTGTCTTCCAAATTTCTTGGTATAGATGAGTGAACTCTTCCAGTGCTGTGTCATTTGGTTGAATTATTTAATTTGTATTCAGTCAATTCCTGAAACCCTACTTTTTGCCAATGCTTTCAGTGCCACTTTCTTCCTTAGTACCATTGGTTCTTGACCCTATGCTGTCTTTTGAAATGATTGAACCATGTCTTTCTGATAGACAGACTCTATTTGTCCCTTCCATCTTCTTTTGATGCTTTTCACATTATTGTCTGTGGAATCCTTTAATATTGCAAGCAGGAGCCTTGTTTCTGCTTCAATTCTTTCAGCCATGAGAAATGCTGAGTATGTTCTTCCCTTTTGGTATTTTAACTCCAGGTCTTTACACACATTGTTGTAATATTTAACTTGTTTTTCCAAGCTGCCCTGAGAGATTTTTTTTTTTTTTAATTAATGTTTTATTGTGAATTGTGTGATAGTTTACATGGGAGAACATTAGTTTTACATTCATTCTATCATACATCGTTTCATTGCCATAGTTACCATCCCGTCCTTGCATCATCACCCAACCAAAGGGTATACCCTGCAAGCCTGCCCGCTGCCCCCGCCCCCCCCCACGGTCCTCAGCACACAGCCCATTTCCCTCTCTAGATCTCAAGTCCCCAGCCACTCCATTTCTTCATGTCGTCTTCTCTGCCTTCATCTCAGGCCTCACTGCTTCTCTGGGTAGGATCCCACTCTTCGCTCTTCTCCATTGATGGTCCCAGGGCCCACTGCTCCTAGACTGAAAAGTTATAATCACTCCCCTCCTTTCTATAAAATGTCCACCTTTACATTTCCAACCTTTACATTTCCTCACAATCAGTCCTGATAACAATTATTCACTGTTGCATCACAAGAGACCCATCTGCATTTCATTCCATCAGCCCTTCCTGGACAGGCTGGATACTATTCACTGGAGACTCTACCTTCCTCCATGCCTTTTGGATCTAGGTTCCCTCTTGAAAGCTTGTAAGCCAGCCACTTCTTACCTTTGTATCCATCCCCCTATTTTGGGTAGCCAATGTCCAAGTTGCCCATCCCTGTCTATTCTTTGTGTGAAGGGGGTGGGAATAATTCTTGCAGCACGGATTTGTTTCCTATTTTGAGCTATCAAATTGTATCAGATAACAATGTTTTCCTCTTCTTTCTTCTTCGGGTTGAGCTCTGTTCATCCAGTCATTGAAGCCAGGTCAAGTGGGTATCATCTGCAAGTGTGGGTGTTCTTGTGTCTGTCCGCCCTCTTCTTATCAGCTGGCTGCTTTTCTTTCCACTCTAGTCCTCTGTGGCTGTGTAATTGACTCTGAACCCATGAGTCCCCAGGTCTTGCCTCGCTGCTGGCTGACCAGGTCTCCACCCAGGTTCACAGTAGTCTGCTGAACGATGTAGGGCTTAGCTCGCTGCTTCATTGATGTTCTTCGGTCACTTTGTGGAGTTCTTTGACGTCCTCATTTCTTCCATTTGCTTTAGCATCTCTGTGCTGGAGAACAACTTTCAAAATTTCTTCTGACATCCATTTTGGTGTTTTCCTTCTTTCTTGTTTTTTAAATGATCTTTTACTTTCTTATTGTATGGTGTTCTTGATGTCATCCCACAACATCTCTGGTCATTGGTCATGAATGTGTATTGAATCAAATCTGTTCATTCTGGAGATAATCTCTAAATTAAGGAAGGATATGTTCATTGTCATATTTTGGACTGGTTTTAATTTTCTTCAGTCCTATTCTGTACTCACTTATAAGCAATTGATGGTCTGTTCCACAGTTGACTTCTGGCTTAGTTTTGGCTGATGCTATTGAACTTTCCCACAGTTTGTCACACAGATATAGTTGGCATTCCTGTGTTTTTCATCTGGTGAGGTTCATGAGTATATTCACCTTTTATGTTGTTTACAAAAGGTATTTGCAATGAATAAGATACTGGCTTTGCTAAATTCTGTCATAGGATCTCCAGCATCATTTCTATCACAAAGGCCATACTTCCCCCAAACTGACCATTCCTCTTTGTTTCCAACCTTCACATCAAAACATCTTGATTCCATGTCTGAGAAATTTAAGACTGAAAAAATTGGTATAATTCTTCAATTTTATTATCACTGTCTTTAGTGGGTGGTAGACGGTGAGTGAGTTGAGCTGCCATGCAGTTCTGCAGTTCTGTGAAGACATGGGCACTCAAAGTCCAAGGTCCTGGTTTGCTGCATTGTCATTTGCTCCTTCTGCAAATCCAGGAGGCATCCTGGTAGCAGATGAACAGCAGCCAGACTTGAAAGCCTGAATCTTCTTTTTCTAATTTGAAGTTAAAAGATCATACAAGGTAAGCGCTGGACTGTGAACTACTTTGAACCCCCCCAGCAGTTGTACAGGAGAAAGATGAGTATTTCTGCTCCTGCAAAGATGTATGACTTTGGAAACCCTATGCAGGGTTGCTATGAATCGGAACCAACTCAAGGGCACTTATCAACAATTTAGTGCTTGGTGGATAAACTTGAATGACAGTGGTATTAACTGGTCTTCCTTACAGGCTTATGGATATTGTCCAATCACAGACAGCATTATACTACAAGACAGATGTTGGAATGTCCTCTTTGATGATGAATGTTAAGCCATTTCTTTTGAAATTGTCTTTCCAAGCATCATATACCATATGATTGTCATATTCAGAATGGCCAATGACAGCCTATTTCAGCTGACTAATGCCTAGTATAGTGGTTAGGAATCGGGCTGCGAACCGCAAGGTCAGCAGTTCGAAACTACCAGCTGTTCTACAGGAGAAAGATGAGGCTTTCTGCTCCTTCAAAAATCTACAGACTTAGAAAGCCTGTACAGGGTCGCTATGAGTCGGAACTGACTCCACCACACATAACAACAACAAATGCCTAGTATATAGCTCTTTATGACTCCCATTTCAATTCTGACAACTTCCAATTTTCCTACAGTCATATTTCATGAATCCCATATACCAATTAGCAGTGGATATTTGTAGCTGTTTTGACTTATTTTGAGCTGTACGCCATCAGCAAATAAAGTACCTGAAAGCTTTTCTCCATTCACAATATCATGGTTAACTCAATATGAGGATGCAGGTCTTCCCCACTGGTATTTTAAGTGCCTTTCAACCGGAGAGGTTCATCTTCTGGCCTGACAATATCTGACAATATTCTGGTATAATTCCTAATGTTTCCATCTACTGACACTTTATCTGACAATATTTTGCTATTATTCATAAGCTTTTC